TTCGAACGTATCGCAGCGGAAGCATCCCGATTGGCACATTACAACAAACGTGCCACGATAACTAGCAGAGAAATTCAAACAGCCGTTCGACTATTGCTACCAGGAGAATTGGCCAAGCACGCCGTCAGCGAAGGTACCAAAGCCGTAACCAAGTACACCAGTTCGAAGTAATATGTAACTACGACGACAACAACAACATCAACAACAACTTACAACATAAAAACGGTTCTTTTCAGAACCACTAAAGTTATCAAGTAAAGATAATGATATCACCGTACGCGCAACATATATATTATTGGTACTTGAATACCAGATGATTATTCGTGATATACATACACCACTAAAGCAATAACGTCTGATATAAGACCCGACCGGATTATTTAATGGTAAACGAAAGCGTAAAAAAAGGGGATATCCTTACGACGCAATCGACTGTTTAACGTTCATTCGTTTAATTAAACACAATACATACTTATTTATACCCTTAAAAGCAAATATCGATGGTGACGACGCCTAACATTACCACTTGCTTATAAATACCTAATCGTAAACGAATAATACTCGAATTTAATAAAAAAAAAAAAAAAAAAAAACATCAACGCACGTACGAGCCGCAGTTGTACATGTATATTTCGATACAAAATTGCTAATTCGTAAATATTCTGTATCCTTTTTATAGTAATAGTGGTGGCCCTGAAAAGGGCCATTTTCAATCCGCGGGGACGTATAGCATCCTCTCGCATAAATATAACGTCTCGAACCGACGTAGCCGTAATCTACGACGTTGCAACACGTCTAAATTTTTTTTTTTATTTCTTCTTTTTGGGTGAAGCGGCCTTCCTTTTTGGCGATGTTGCAGCCTTCGCCGTTTTCGGTTTTGGTGCTTTTGGCTTCTTGGTCGGAGCTCCCTTGCTGGATTTCTTCGCCTTCGAAGGAGATTTTTTTGCAGCCGCTGCAGAAGGTGCAGCAGAAGAAGCTTTAGCCGACGTCGCCGATTTCCCACTTTTCTTTGTCTTAGCTGGAGAAGCTTTCTTCTCGGCCGCACCACCGGCCACCGCCGGTTTCTTAGCCTTCGGAGATGCCTTCTTCGCAGATTTCGCACCGCTAGCTCTCTTAGCTACGGTTCCGCTCTTCTTTGAGCCGGTCGCGGATTTCTTCTTCTTTTCGCCAACCTTTGCGGCTGACGATGATGAAGTTTTCGACGCTCCGCCAGCCGATGACGAAGCTAGCTTGAACGATCCGGAAGCTCCTTTGCCTTTCGTCTGTACTAAAGCTCCAGACGCGACGGACGATTTTAAGTACCTCTTGATGAAAGGCGCAACTTTCTCAGCGTCTACTTTGTAATTAGCGGCTATGTATTTCTTGATAGCTTGCAGAGACGACCCGCCACGCTCTTTTAATCCTTTAATTGCGTTGATGACCATTTCGCTAGTAGGAGGATGAGACGGCTTCGCCCTCGGATTCTTCGGTTTTTTCTCCTTTTTCGCAGACGACTGCGACGTCGGCGACGCAGAATTCGCGGTAGCCGTAGCCGACGCGGCGTAATTCTGGTTTTCCGTATCTGCCATGTTTACGAGTCGTGAAGAGGAGACAGATTATTGTATACGCGCGATCTTTTGCAATCACTGATCGACGATCTCGCTAAGAGAACGAATGTCGAATGAATGTGAGAGGTAAATTCAGCGTCGTGACCCAAGTCATTTCGGTCGGACCGAACATTGAACGCTCCGACTTTGCAGCGAAACCGATTTCGACGGCTTCAATTCTGCCAAGCCTGCGGTCGTATCTGTTGGTTTTTTGAGTCGCTGATATAATTGCATACGAGCAACAGCTAAAACCTGAACGAATATGAAATCTGCATAATTTGAAATACACATTTAACTTCGCGACTTGATCACGTACGCTACGTACACGATAAAATTATAAGGTGAAACGTGCAAGGTATCCGCTTTGGACCTAATCGTCCGGCTTTTTGATCTAATTTATATTATACGAATACGTTATATAATTAGATATTTCATGAAATTAACAATCTACGACTATTCGTAATACAATTATACTGTCGGTATACGGCTAATGGATAAGGTATTTTAGATAATCGCAATTATACGGAGGTATGTCTGGCGTACATCCGAACGTGCACAGTCGCGAAATATATCGCGATAATTTTAACATTACTCCTGTAATATGACAAAATAGATAATAATATGAGACATCAATCTATTATTCGTAATAAATAAGCCAGAGTAGAAAAATATTATATATAATATACGAGCGATCGAGTTATAAATTCATCTCTTACTACATATTAATTATTAGACGTACGCATTACTGACTTTTGATCTACGTGAAAGTACCTAATGTTACGTATTACACGCTAACAGCCTGCCTAAACGCCTAAGCAATATATACGGCAAAATATCTATATTATGTCGAATTATCTACATTATAATCACATGCTACTTATAAGTTATTTTACTTCCATACACATACATACAATTCGTACGTTATTAGAATAATATCAATGTAACGGTTTACTACAAAGCACCACAATCCTTCGATATAGGATAACGGGTAATAACTAGCGACTATCGTATAACCATTTAGCGCTATTTTGCATACACGATAATAGTGTCGAAATTGCACGCGTACAAACAACAATCTGATATACTTAACATAATACACGATCCCCTTTTTCTGAACATACTATATGATGGTTCTGAAAAGAACCGTTTTTTTTTTTATAACCTATTATCGCACGCCGTACTCTCTCTCTCTCTCTCTCTCTCTCTTTCCGGCAAATAGTAAATCCGTCAATTCCATTAGGCACGTTCGCCCCTAATACGTCTTGCCAGCTGTATATCTTTCGGCATGATCGTTACTCGCTTAGCGTGGATCGCGCACAAGTTCGTATCCTCGAATAGTCCGACCAGGTACGCTTCGCTAGCTTCTTGGAGTGCCATTACAGCAGAACTTTGGAATCGCAAATCGGTCTTGAAATCTTGCGCTATTTCACGGACCAGCCGTTGGAAAGGCAATTTTCTGATCAACAATTCGGTACTTTTCTGATAACGACGAATTTCTCTGAGAGCCACAGTTCCCGGACGATAACGGTGAGGTTTCTTAACTCCGCCAGTAGCAGGAGCACTTTTACGGGCAGCCTTCGTGGCTAATTGCTTCCTGGGAGCTTTACCTCCGGTGGATTTACGAGCCGTCTGCTTGGTACGCGCCATTACGTTAAATTTCAGATAACTGAATATAAATTATCTATATAGCAGCGACGTGAATATTGCAACGGACAATATTATAGTGAGCGGAGGTAAACACCGCGAACAGTTATATTTATATGGGCTCGAAATACGAAACAGTCTGATTGGCCAATTGATAGACCAATAGGAGGGACGACAACGCTAACAAAACCGGGCGTCACGAGAGACGTACCGTCAGTTGGCAACAGCCCGTTCGCTTTAACAGTTCGACGTGCGAGAGAATCTTGAAAAATGACTGGACGCGGTAAAGGTGGTAAAGGATTGGGAAAAGGAGGAGCGAAAAGGCATCGTAAAGTTTTGAGGGATAACATCCAGGGAATTACGAAACCGGCCATAAGAAGATTGGCGCGACGTGGAGGAGTAAAACGTATATCCGGATTGATTTACGAAGAAACTCGAGGAGTGCTCAAAGTCTTTTTAGAGAACGTAATCAGGGATGCAGTCACTTACACCGAGCACGCTAAAAGGAAGACAGTCACTGCAATGGACGTCGTATATGCATTAAAGAGACAAGGACGCACTTTGTACGGATTCGGTGGTTAAACACTCCGCAGCAATTACCACGGTACAGGTTGAACGAAAATACAATACAAAGAAAAAAAAAACGGTTCTTTTCAGAACCACCATATACTCTCGTGAGAAAGAATGGATCTGCCGATTGAACCGCCACATTAATTTTCTATTTTTTTTATACAAAATAAAAAGAAACACTCACATAAATGAGTTTATCGGAATATGAGAAATTGATCGACTTATACGTTTTGGCTCTTTGAATTACAATAATCGACGATTTCGGTCCCGATATGTCCCATTATCGAGATACCGGCGAATATTAGACGTGAATGCGACGATGAGATGCCTCGATTAAATAATTTAGTTATTGCCAACTTCTCGCGCCACAACCGATCCGATATCACCCTGAGAAAATTTTTCCATATACAAATGATAATCCCTTCATTTTCTTATTAAATTACTTGTTGGCCCTGAGAAGGGCCGATTGTATGTTCAGAAGATTTTTTTTTTTAGGCTTTCTTCTCCGTCTTTTTCGGCAAAAGAACAGCTTGGATATTAGGGAGAACTCCTCCTTGGGCAATTGTGACGCCTGAAAGCAATTTGTTCAATTCTTCGTCGTTTCTGATGGCCAATTGCAGATGACGTGGAATAATACGGGTCTTTTTATTGTCGCGAGCAGCGTTGCCTGCCAATTCCAAAACTTCAGCGGCCAAGTATTCCATAACGGCCGCTAGATATACGGGAGCTCCGGCACCGACGCGTTCAGCATAATTCCCTTTTCGCAATAACCTGTGGATACGACCGACGGGAAATTGTAGGCCGGCCCTGCTGGATCGGGACTTTGCCTTTCCCTTAACTTTACCGCCTTTTCCGCGTCCTGACATATTCAATTTGTTAATCTGCTAAACGAACGACGTCGACTATGAACTTGCAAATGCACAACATGATCTCCGCGAACGTTGTATTTATATGAACTAACCGACCAATCGACGCGAACGTTTGCCGGCAAACGCCTGGGGGCGGAGTCTACGGTCGTAACGTCACCTGTCTTAAATACGGCCAGAGAATTGCAGTCGTTCCGTTAGTCGAGCGTTGGTGTCGATTATACTCAGCATCATCTCACAATAAAATGCCACCCAAAACTAGCGGTAAGGCTGCCAAAAAAGCGGGCAAGGCGCAGAAGAATATCTCAAAATCTGACAAGAAAAAGAAGCGCAGGAGGAAGGAAAGTTACGCAATTTACATCTACAAAGTACTGAAGCAGGTACATCCCGATACGGGTATATCCAGCAAAGCGATGAGCATCATGAACAGCTTCGTCAACGATATTTTCGAACGTATCGCTGCGGAAGCTTCCAGATTGGCACATTACAACAAACGTGCCACGATAACTAGCAGAGAAATTCAGACAGCCGTACGACTATTGCTACCGGGAGAATTGGCCAAGCACGCAGTCAGCGAAGGTACCAAAGCCGTCACCAAGTACACCAGTTCAAAATAATATAGACGTTGTATTCGCTTCGACGGTTATACGGTTCGAAAAATAAGAACAAAAAAAAAACGGTTCTTTTCAGAACCACTATGTTATGATAAAATGCAAAATGATAATTAGCTGTGGTCGTTATTTTAATCTTTTCATCTATCTCTCTCTCTCTCTCTCTCGCTCTCTCTCTCTCTCTCTCTCTCTATATATATATATATATATATATATATATATATATATATATATATATATATATATATATATATATGTATAGAAGAAGTCCGTAATATCTGGAAGATGTCACCTGTATCACTGCACTGGGAAACAGTACCGTGATCGTAGGTGATCTAAACGCGAAGTCCACCATTTGGGGCTCAAGAAACAGAAACAGTCACGGCGCTGTTCTGGAAAGACTAATGGATGAACCTGGATATACCATGATAGGTCCGGACGAACCTACAATATACCCCAGCAACGGAGGTAGACCAGACGTCATAGATATGGCGATTCTGAAGGAAATCGACATGCGCACCACCATCGGCGCCATGCAAGAGGGAAGCTCAGACCACAACCCCATCTTTCTCTGTACGGGAGATGGGATAACACCTGTGGAACAAAGAACAGTGAAGAGAGTGAATTGGCAGCGGTTTAGAACCAGACTGCACTATTCACAAGGACCACTACTACAGATCGAAAGCCCCGAAAGCATAGAAGAAGCGGTCACGGACCTAGAAAGGAAGATTAAGGCTGCGTTAGAAGCCGCAACCACCGTGGAAGACATAACGCAACCAAACAGGTTCAGGGACCTACCTGACGAGGTAAATCGCAAGATCACCGAAAGAAACAGAGCCCGAAGAGTAGCCCAGGAGACCAGAAGCCCCACTGACATCATGGTGGCAAACAGACTTATGAGACAGGCACGAGACGCCTTGAAGCAGCACCATCAGAGCACCTGGGATAAGAAACTCGACGAACTATCTCCAGCTGACCCAGGAATGTGGAACTTGGCTAAAATCCTCAGAAATAGAAGACAGCCCATCCCCCCAATACACAGCGAACAGGGGATGGTGTACACAACCGAAGAGAAGGCGGAAGCTTTTGCTGACAACCTTCAGAGACAGTGTACTCTCAATACTCACCCCGATGAAGACGAAGACTTCATCGACGAGGTGATGAGAAGATCGAGGAGAGCTGTCAGAGGAGGAAGAGCCATCGAAGACATGCCCTCTCCAGGCGAGGTAAGGGAAATCATCGAAAGACTCAAGGTGAAGAAGGCACCGGGTGTAGACGATATTGGGAACAGAGTCCTGAAGAGACTCCCGAGGAAAGCGATAATGGCAATTACCAACATCGTCAACGCCATACTGAGACACCGGTACTTTCCAGATCACTGGAAAGTAGCCGAGGTGATCAACATTCCTAAACCTGGGAAAGACCCAAGGTTCCCCCAAAACTACAGACCCATAAGCCTGTTGACGGCACTGAGCAAGATTGCGGAAAGGGTAATCGAACGAAGACTGAAGAACGAAACCGAAGAACTCCGAGTAGTTCCAGACGAACAGTTCGGATTCCGATGCGGGCATTCAGCAGAGCACCAGGTCCTAAGGCTGGTCGAGATGGCAACGAAATCGTTCCAGACTCGGCGGGCCGTGGGAGCTGTGTTCATGGATGCCGCAAAGGCGTTCGACACTGTTTGGCATGACGGACTGATCTACAAGATGGTAGACCACGGATACTCAAAGGGGATGATCCAACTGGTGAAGTCCTACTTGAAGCACCGAAATTTCCGAATTAGGATCGGTAAAACAACCTCGACGACGAGGACTGTGGAGGCAGGAGTACCGCAGGGAGCGGTTCTACCACCCCTGCTGTATCCAATCTACAGCTCAGACATCCCGAAGACTCCTCAAACGCAACTGTATGTGTATGCGGACGATACAGCATATGCGGCAGAAAGTACGAGACCCCGCATGGTTACGGAATATCTGCAACGAGCGACCACCAACCTAGAGGAATGGTGCATCAAGTGGAAGATCCGCCTCAACCCCGAGAAGACCGAAGCGGTACTGTTCCGAAGAAATCGAAGATTACCTCAGACCAAAATAAAGATGACGACCACCAGAATGGAGAGAGGCTGGAGAAGAGATGAAGAGGTTGAGGTCGACTGGAAAGACTCCAGCACATACCTTGGAGTCAAGATGGACCAGAAACTCACTTGGAAGAACCATGTCGAAGACCGGGTGCAGAAAGTGAAGATGGCACGCTCCAAACTAAGACCCTTAACGGGCAGAAGAAGCAAAGTGTCACTAAAGAATAAGACCATCATGATTCAGATGGTGCTGCTACAAATCATGACTTACGCAGCAGTAGCTTGGGGCTACGTTTCCAAAACGATGAAGAAGAGGCTCCAAGCTCAACAAAACATGGCACTCCGTGAAGCGGTGGACGCACCGTGGTATGTACCTAACAGAGTGCTATATGACGAACTACGACAGGTACCGGTCGTAATCCAGATGAGAGAGAGGGCCAGAAAGTTCTTTGAAAAGAAATGTGCTGATTGAAGCCGCCTTGGATTACGACCCAAGAACAATAAGGCGTCATAAAAGACCGAAAAGCCAGCTGCAACAAGAAGATATTTGGCCCTAGCAGCTGATCAGGCCAAAGAAAAGGGGAGAAGACCGACAATAGTTGTACACCCAAGAGGGGAAAGAACAGCCCGTGTACAACGGGTGGACAAAAAGAAGCCTGTCGATTGAGGTGGCCAGAGTCAAGCACGGACTCGGGGCTAACCTCAGGAGACGAATGACTTACAAATATGACTGACTGACGACGACTGACTGACTCCAGTCGACGAGGAAAGAGCGAAGGCTCACCAACCTTTAGGAGGGGCTTAGGTCGAAAGCCCCCAGCGCAGGACCCCCAAGAAAAGAGGCCGGCCATAAAGTCGAGAACCGACAGTTGGAAGAAACGTCCACCACGCGCTTCCGCGACGCGTGCGCGATCGAGTCAAATTTCGGGAAAAAGGGGCAAAATTGGGGAAGGGGGGATAGCTCGTTCGGCAGCACACACTCGGGGAATGCGCAAGCGGCCTGAACCACGCAGCGCCACTCCAGGCCTTTGGGCGGGAGTGGGGGGAGGAGCTGATTGCTCTTCCCCCACTCCTCAAGGGTTTGAGGTTGCCTGGAACAGGGGTGGTGGAGGGACCGCACAGGGTAGGAGGGTGTGTGTGTGTGTGTGTGAAGACCGTAGCAGAAGAAGAAGAAGAAGACGAAGACCGTTTTGTAAAATAACAAAATTAAGTAACACAATTTTTTTATACATTTATAGCCCATAAGTAACAGCAGACCGAATATATTGCCAACGGAAAATCCTTTTTATTTTGGTATTCTGAGTTTAATTGATGTTAACTGCCCAAAATTGATTACTTATCGTTTATTCCTTTCCCCGCGGATCGGTGTATGGTAACTTGTTCTAACAGTTAATAGTATTAACGGAGTGTCATTGTTTTTATTGTTCAACAGCGAAATCAGTCAACATAAGGGTATCCACGATTTCCGAAGGTTAATACAGGGTGTCCGCAAAGTTGGGCTTTTCCTTTTCAGAAACAACTACCCTTGAAATAACAAAGGTAATGCGTAGTGAAACGAGGGCCGACCATGTAAAAAAAATATATAAAGGAAAAAGTACTCACTCTCCAGTTGACCCCATTACGTGTGAACGTAGATTCGTCTGTCACCAATATGCACTTCAAAAAGTCCGGATTATTGTCATGTTGATGCAACAACCACTCACAAAACCGCACTCTTGCTGGAAAATCGTCAGGTTGGACGTTTGCCACACTCTAGTTTGTGATACTCGCACTTCTCTAGCCACGTCTCTAGTGCTTGTTGAGGGATTCTCGTCTACGCGATTCAGTAGTTCTTCCTCAACTAGCACCATTCGTGGTTGTCTAGACCTCCCACTGTGCCCACCTCGATATTCCTCCAAATGGCCCGTATCCCTGACTCTCTGGACCGGGTACACAAATCTGCGGGGCCTTGGATGATGTCGTCTAGGGAAAAGATCTGCATACACTCGCGACGATTCTGTATCATTTTGAAGACGTTCATTAATAAATTAACAACATATCAACGAGTTCATTATTGGTATATGAGTGTGCCATTATTATTATATTTATTATACCTCTATACGCGTGACCCTTTACCGTCGGTTGAAGGTTGCATACTGACCTGACACTCGGACCCCCACCCCCGACCCAGTTCTGTCGTCGGGTTCAGCTAGTAGCCGGTACCTGTCTGGGGCATCGCGGCGGGTGGCGGCTACAGGACGGTATTCAGATATTTTTGATGTTGCAGAGCCCTTTATCTCGGTTCCCTTAAGATATTGGTGTATATGGCACTAAGAAAAATTGCTTATGTTTTCAAGATCTACACGTCGTGTAAAGGATAACCCCAACTTTGCGGACACCCTGTATAATAGAATTAGAACCGTTCGATGTATATATTCTTTTCAAATTACAGTTTTTCGATAACACAGCATAGCATGTCCATATATGTATATATATATATATATATATATCATATATATATGATATATATATATATATATATATATATATATATATATATATATATATATATATATATATATATATATGTATATATACACGTACATAAACATAGAATCACATGTTTATGTACGTGTATATATACATATATATATATATATATATATATCATATATATATATATATATATGTATATATACACGTACATAAACATAGAATCACGGAAACGAAATGTAGTACATCGTTATTCGAATATTCGTACATTTTCGAAGTTCGCTCAAGTATATACTTTCGAGACTACAACTGGAATATTAGTCGAAATATTAAAGATCTACACACTTTCCAATATGACGTTGAATCACTGACCGGACGTACAGCGATATCGGATTGTTCGCCTGCGATAATAGTATGGCCGCTATTAATGGGAAATGTATTTAAAAAAAACTTCTAC